ATTGGTCAATTAACGGTAAATATTTCAAAATAAAAAGAAATATTTCTTAAATATTAGTTAAATGTTATTTAGAAAATATTTGTTTCTAATATTTAAATAGTATGAAACAAATAAAATAAAAATAGTTTTTCCTAGTACGCAATACTTTTTGTGTCTATATATGACACCACTAACACCCAAAAAGTTACTAATATTATATTTTTAATAAATATGAATTAACTTTAGAACTTATGATCTGAGTTTTCATTGATCAGTGAATAGAAAATATTTCAGAGCAAAACGAAATATTTTTCAAATGTTATTTAAACATTCTATAAAAAATATTTGTTTCTAATATTTAATTAGCATGAAATAAATAAAATAATAATAGGTTTTCTTAGCACGTAATACTTTTTGTGGCTCTATATAATACCACTAACACGCAAAATATATAATATATATTAATCTTTTTAAATTTTGGTCTATCCTTAGCACGCGCTTTATGTTGAATATAAGCTGCATTTTGTGCGCCGAGGTCAGGGGGGTCGAATCGGTTTTCATTCCTCTTTGTTATTATTTGCTCCTTTTTGGATGCTTTAGTTGCCTTGATTTTGTCATACAATTTTTGAGAATTTTACTTGTGATTGTAGGAAACTGGAGATAATAGCGTTATTGTTTAGGTTGAATGGATTTGTGGATCTCACATGTCCTGTTATTATTTCGAACGGCGTAAACTTAGTGACAGTATCAATGGATATGTTGTAGCCTAGAACTGCTCTCTTCATTAATTGACTGGTCGTAAATTGGCTGTTTTCCTCTTTTAGGCATCGATAACTTTATATAATGGATGAATGGAATCTTTCGACAGGTGAATTTGAATTACTATTTTTGGATGTCGTATAGTGTAATTCTATCTTGTACAATTTGCAGAAGTCCTCCAAATCTTTGTTTTTAAATTCTGTGTATTCGGAGAGATTGGATTTAATTATCGGTGGACTTCGATCGTATTTGTTCCTTTGGCAGATCTCACAGTCTTTAATAAATGTTTGTATATATTCGGATAATTTTTGCCAGTAGAACGATTATCCCAGAGATGTCTTCATTTCATGGCTAACTTCTTATTTCACACATTTTTTCGTATTGTCATTAACTTCCGAAATACTTAGGTGTAGCAAATAAAAAAAACCATCCGGTATAACTAATTGTCGACGACAACATGGATAAATTGTATAAGGCTGCTCCGTAGATGCAAGTTACAATACATGCCCCGTAGACGGAAGTACCTAAATTTACCTTTGGCAACAGTGCGACGCCAGCTGATCCCCAGTACTTCTGTCTATTCTGTATCAAAACTTGTTTATTTACAATTATGTATGCTTAAAAACAATAATTATTTAAGTCCCGTAATAATTTTAAGCATCATTATAGTAATAAAATTTACAAATATGTCTATAAGCTTAGATATAAAATTGAAGCGGGCGGACAAAATATACACGGAAGGAGTAAGAGCAATTACACATTAATTTTTTTTATGTAAAATACATAATTTTCTGGTTTTAGGAAACGATAAGCGGAGTAATGATTATTTCCAGTAGCTCAGATTTTAAACATGATGGTATTTGTTTAACAGTGGAAGGGTGTGTCAATCTGCAAATTAGTTCGAAAAATGTTGGCATCCTAGAAGCATTTTACAACTCTGTAAAAGTAAGCCATTGGCCTTTTTCAAAATTACTGAAGTAAATGAGCACCGTTTGTAGCCCATTCAGTTGGTGAACATAACATGTGATGTTAGCGGTTCAGGACGTTTACCAGCAGGAGTTACCGAAATTCCATTTCAAATACCCCTCAAAGCAATGTCCAGCAAAAGCTTGTACGAAACGTATCATGGGGTATACGTTAATATTAGTTACTCCATTCGATGTGATATTAGAAGATCGTTCTTGGCTAAAGACTTGCAAACGTGCCAGCAATTTTTGGTTCAATACAAACTGAATTCAAGTAATTGTCCTCAGTTGCCTTTAAAAGATAATCGAAAGTCTGTCACTTTTGAATTGAGTCCAGCGAAGTTGTCTTCGGGGTCCTCAGGTGAGCATAGCATAAGTTCATAATCAAGAATTATTTAGCATACTGCCAATACAATTACCAATTCAGGTCATACCTATTCCAGTTTATCAGGCTTTCGTGTTTAACGTTAACAATATCCTAATATCATGCAGGGTGTTTTTTTAGTGCGAGAGAGTCCTTTATTTCCATTGGTGTTGAACTTTCGAAAAATAGTTTCATATAGTTCTGTTGACGCACAAAGTGCGCACATTTTAAAAATATCTTATATGATACAGTGTCTCAGAAAAGCGAGGCAAGATCAAAGTGTAGTTTTTTAAATAGAAGTCAAAATTTGAATTGCCACGTTTAACACTGATTTATTGACTTCCATAGCCACCTTACAAAATGTAGCAACTTTTTGAAATGTTTATATAAAATAATTTATAATTTGAAAACGGTTGATTTCACAGCTTAAAGTGTAAATGCAAATTTGTAACTTTATAAATTGTCTATCTAACAAAAGCTATATTGCGTTAAAAGGTTTTAGATTGACGTCCACATTGTTAAAACCCTGTACAGTGTATTGATATTTTGGTTCAATAGAATTCTTAACGGATCTGTGGTGATTGGAAAGACGTATTTTTTGTATCCTTAACTGCTTTTTTTTGCTTCTACAATTAAATTTTAGATATCATGTTTTTAAGCAAAATTTTACTAAAATGGCGATAATCTTCGCCAGTAAGAAACAAACAATTTACGGTGCATATGCAGCGTTTCAAGCCGCATTCCATGAGCTAATGAAAAATGGGTAGTTTTATTTAAAAAAATACACTTTGATCTTGCCTCGCTTTTCTGAGACACTCTGTATCATATAAGATATTTTTTAAATGTTGGCACTTTGTGCGTCAGCAACTTTTATATGAAACTATTTTTCGAAAGTTCAACACTATCGGAAATAATGGACTCTATCGCACTAAAAAACCAAACCCTGTGTTTTTTTTTCGCAGTTACGGAAAAGGTTAAATGGACAAAGAATTGTAGTTTTGAATGCTCTACTCGAAATCAATTTTATTTTTCTAAAATTTGACAGCTGTCACGAGATATTTAGGAAAACTTATTTATGCAAAATTTTTAAATTGCTAGTTCCGTTGATATTAATTTCACAGGGAAACATTACATAGAAAACTTGTAGAAAATTGAATTCCAAACAAAATGGCATAAGACATTTCTCCAAAACAACTGTCATTTTTGACATATGACACAAATTTTAGTTTCTTAAAGTGCAACTATACTTGTTTATTGCTTTACCGAATAGAGCATTTTATTGCGATTTCTGTGCTATATCAGATAGTATAAGACGTAGCATTGTTTCCATAGCAACATATGATAGCAACATCTTTCAATTTTTGACATTCAAGTTTAAAGTCAACTTAGTCAACTTTCTAAGCTAGTTTTATTGTAAAAATTAATTATTCCAATCAAGAAAACCGCCCTCTGGTTACTGTTTTGAAAGGTATTTTGACCGTCGTCAACCGTCCTTGCAAACAGCTTCAAACGATTATACGACAATTTGGGCACTTATGGAAGTTTTAGGCAGCCAATAAATGAAGATAAAGTAATAAATGAAGCTGTGGAGGTTAATGTCTTGGACATTGTAGGCCAGAATCCACAGATTTCAACCAGAGAGATCGCAGCAGAATCCGGGATTTCCCAAAGCACCGTGATGAGAGTTTAAAAAAACACAAATTCCAACCGTATAAATTATCAGTATCTCAAACTTTACATCTAGGGGATGAGGAGCTTCGTGTGAATTTTTGTACATGGTTCCGAATCAAATGCCAACAAGACATCCAATTCCCTTATAAAACATTGTGAACCGTTGAAACTCGATTTATTAATCGACACAATGCACATTTTTGGAATCGATCAAATCCCCACCACGTTGAGCAAAGGAGACCTCAAATTAAATTTGGGTTTAACGTTTGGAGCGCAATGGTAGGTTCAAAAATTATTGGACCATTTATTTTTTAATGCACCTTAAATGGGAGTTGGTATCTTCAATTACTTCGGAATATCCTGGATTTTATGTTGGACGACTTAGATTTAGAAACATGGCGTGATGTGCAATGGTTGCAATCAACCTGATGGCACTCCTCCGCATAACTTTTTTCCAAGTGCGGAATCACCTGGACGTTACATTTCCTGGGGCTTAGATTGGACGAAACGGCCCTATTTTATGGCCACCTCGATCACTGGATCTTTCACCTTTGGATTTCTTTTTGTGCGGAGCTGTAAAAAACACAGTTTACAAAAACAAGTATTCCAATTTAAATGCACTTCAAGAAGCTGTTAGAGGCATTTAAAAATGTTGATGCAAGAAAAGCAACTTATTACAGTTTTAAAGCGTTGCAATGTTTGCTTTCATAATAATGGTGGACTTTTTGGAATTGTTTTACAATAAAAATTAAAGTTTCTAGACTTAAATCTTAATTATTATTGATATGATTTCATTTTTATAATAAAAACTTTAAATGAGCTGCCGTCTTAATTAAAATAAAGTTATTGCCAACTTTAACTTAGTTGCCAAAATAAATACTGAACCATACTGTTATTATTTCTTACTATGAAAACAATTAATGCTGTATGTCTTGTACTATTTTCCATGGCTAACTTCGATCAACGAAATTGAAAAAGCATAAATTGTTCGCAGACACTTTATTTTCGAACAAAACCTAACGGTATGATATATCACAGCAATCGTAATAAAATGCTCTATTCGGTGAAGCAATAATTAAGTATGGTTGCATTTCAAAAAATTCGAATTTGTGTCATGTCAAAAATGACAGTAATTTTGGAGAAATGTCTTACTCCATTTGGTTTGGAATTCAATTTTCAAAATTTTTTTTATTTGAATGTTTTCCTGATTTAATGATTGAATTAAAATCAATGGAACTTGGAGTAATTTAAACATTTATCATAAATAAGTTTTTTCCAAATATCTCTTGACAGCTGTCAAATTAAAAAAAAATAGAATTGGTTTCGAGTAGAGCATTCAAAACTACAATTCTTTGTCCATTTGACCTGCTTCGTAACTGGTCTAGTTCCGAAGATCCCTGTACTGGTCATTGAAAAACCTCACCCTGTGTAATAAAAAAATATATATATACATATATATATATATATATATACAGGGTGATTCACGGTCGATGGCGTATTAGCAGCAGTTAATTAACCAAACACGCAAAGCTGCTCAAAATATGAGCCCAGACTGAAAGTGATTGGGATACAAAGATGTTTGGAGTGAAACGGACATCTTGCTCTTGGGAACATTTGTGTTTTAACAACAGAATTGTATTTTATTTGATCAATAGTATTGACCAATGATACATAACCTTTAATAGATGGTTTTGGATGACAGTTGTGACCTATTTAGTTATATCACTCATTTGCCCCAAAAAGATGGCAGCACTCGTGGGGCTGTTTTATCGCAGCACTGACCGCAAGGTGACACCGTTATCCTAAGCTCAACGCATGCCATAATCTATTTTATTGTCACTTTCTGTATAATTCCATCGTTACCATCGGAGTGTTTAATAATTACGAAGCAATAGGCATTTACATAATGTTAGTTAGGCAGATTACCTTGAAAACATTGATCTAATTTTTTGCAAATTTTTCAGTATTTAATAACATTTTATTTTTTTTACTATTTTTTCTGTGCTCCCAAGACACCCCCAGACAACACCTCCATAGGAATGACGCCAATTTTGAATCACCCTGTATTTGAGATACGCTTGCAGGTTACTCACTTTCCATGATTCATTTCAATAATTTTTCTGTGATTTTACTTAAGTTTTTACGTTTTAGATGCTCCTGATTTTCTGCTCAGAGGCTACATCGACACAGTGTGTTGTAGCATAACTAAGCCGTTTAAAGGTCGGTTATGTATAGTTAAATGTGCAGCCCCAGCCAGGTCTATCGAGTTACAGTTAGTTAGAGTCGAAACGTGTGGCTGTGCTGAAGGATATGCACGCGAAGGTGAATATGTTAAATACGTACCTACCTTAAGGATCTTGACAAATTATACAAATATGGTTATACAGGGTGTGCCGTAAGCATATGATTAAAAGGGTACTGCGATGATCTTTGCATCAAAAGAAGGCGATCTGATCTTACTTTTATTAACAAAAAGTCATGGCTCCTCTGCTATTGATGGTCAAAATTCTTCAAAAATGTTTCTTTTTTTTTAAATATCGGAAGAATAATACGATGTATTTTAGTGAAACTCGCTGTGAATTTGTTCTTATGTAAGACTCATATTTTGATGAACTCGATTGGAGATCATCCGTTTTGGACAAGTGGTGAATTCTTGAGTGTCGTGGTAGAAAAACTACCACAACTTTTGATTTGGTATATGGAATCAACCCATTTTTTTTGGATGGTGCACTAATAATGTACTCACAACTTTGTGCTTTTTGTAAAAACTTGTAGCATTCAGAGTTTTTGTGCAACACAATTATTTCTGGTCTCTTGCCACTTAACAATGTTAAGCGTAAACTGAAAATGTGCCTGATCAGTGGGGCGTAACTTGATTGTCATTCTTTTGACGTTTGTTAATCAATCTCACAAATTCGTTTCGAATGAAAATATTTTAGATCGCTTGCCCAATGACTTCGGCACACTGTCCAATTTTCAAATGTCTCCTAATTAAATAACTTTTTTAAGTATCGGGAGAATAGTACGATGTATTTTAGTGAAACTCGTTGTGAATTTGTTCTTATGTAAGACTCATATTTTGATGAACTCGATTGAACTGGTGAATTCTTGAGTGCCGTGGTGGAAAATCCGTACGGTATAACCGGAATTGTTAACATCTTGAAAATATTTTAGATCGCTTGTCCAATGACTGCGGCACACTGTCCAATTTTCAAATTTCTCCTAATTACAGTTTGCCAGATATCGATCGCGGTGGTTCCCGGTGGGGTATCCTGTACAAAAATAGAAAGCCGCGCAGAATATTTCTAAAATTTTTTAATTAACTACGAAATATCCAATAGCTCAATCGATATGAAATTCACCTTATGAGTATGGGGCTTGGTGATTGATGAATATGGAGCTAAAACTTCATAAAAATTAAAACTTAAAAATTCTACATTTACATTTAACTTTTTTGTTTGAGCCAGACATTTTTTATTAATAAAAGTACGGTCAGATCGTCTTCTATTAGTCCAAAGAATATCCACCATCATGAGCTTACTTATGAGCTTAGCAGCAAGATCATGTGCTTAAGGGACACCCTGCATAATTTATGTTAACGTATACCTTTTAGCTACGGAAATCCAGAATCTTCAAATAGGCGATGGTGACATACCGCAAAATATTCCAATACCAATCTATATGGTATTTCCCAGATTATTTACTTGTCCCACATTAATAACCACCAATTTCAAAATAGGTAGTAATGCAGTATACTTATATTCAATTTTTAATGTCTTTTTTGTTTTAGAATTTGAAATTAATATTGTTGTAGTATTCGACAACAATCATTTAATCACTAATAACTTCCCAATAATATTAGTGAGAGATTAATTCTGAAAACGTTCCAAACGTGCGTTCATTTTCAATAAATCGACAAAATATGTTGTGTGGTTGGAGTGCTTGCTGGAAGCATATCAAACCGATATGTGATTACTCATCGTTTGTAAGTTATAGCAATGGGCAAATGTAATATGTAAATAAAAATGTAAATGCTAATTTCGACAAGTTAAATATAGCCTTAAAGGTCATATGCCGTGAACACAAATATGTGATGCGCTGCTATCAGACGTATTCATTAAGCAGCACTTGATCAAAAATTAGATCACTTAAGGGCCAACTCCACCGTGGTGGGCTTAGAAGTTAAGTGAAACTTAATAATTTAAGTTGACTGCACGCTGCTTAAACGGAACTGAAACCCATGACACAATGAATACAAGGTAGGATATTGCGTCGTTTTGCGTAACGTCAGTGGAAATGACTGCATGTCCTGATTTTTTCCTGTCTGCTAAATGTGATTAAATATAGCTTGTTTAGTCTTTCACATATAATTATTTTTTTTATAAATCTTCGTTATGCTTACAAAATGCTTTACAGCAGCTTATAAACTTGAAAATTAAAAGTTACAAAAATTTATTTATTTTGTATACTAGCACAGTTGCCAGATGTGCAATAAAGTATAGCGTTTGCTTTCGGCAAGTAGCCCAAAGGTTGAATTGCAAATTCCTCTCTTAATTCTAGCGAATGCAACGTTAATTGTGTCCGCACGACAATCATTCTCCCATAGCTTGCTTCAAATACTGCCCTTTGGAAATCTATTGTAACGGAAATGGCCTGGGGTACTCACGTTTGGAATGGCGGGATTCATGGTATTTCAGTAAATGGGAGCCCTATTTACGCCCCATTTACTGTCAAATATGAAACTGACAAGCGGGAATTTCGCACCTGGGCTGGAGATTTCGAGAACCGTCTGGGTTACCTGAAGAAAACTGTATAAGCGGCGACGAGAACCATGGGGAGTGAAGTGGCAGCAGCGATTGAGTGCAGAAGAGGTTAAACCCGCGAGTCGGAAGAGCGAGTTTTCCGTCTGTTATTGTTATTGTTTGTGAAGTTGACGGTAATTTTGAAGTTAGTTTATTCCTGTTCCGCATTAAAAGTTATACCGAGATGAATAAAAGTTGGAAGCGGAAGAAAGAGTTTGATACCCGGCCATCCACGGTACACTATGAAACTTTATTTCCAAAGATTTAGCTCTCGTATTACTATTGCAACCGTAAACTGCACATCGCATTTTTTATATTTCTGAACCTGACACTTAAAAGTAGCAAAACAATCTATAGTTCACTTTGCAACTACCAAACGCAAAATGCTTTGTTTGCCTACAACATTCCCAAACACGCCCAAACGCATTCACCTCATGATACAATGAATGAATTGTATGATACTGTTATTTTATTGTTTTGTTTGGCTCTACCCGATTTAACGAATAACACGCTGGTAACATAGCAAGCTAAAACGCTAAAAATCAGAGACTTTGTAAATACTTCTTTAGAGTATTTTTCTTCGTAATAAGACCAAATCAGGTCCTAAACGCGATTTTGAAAGCATTGAGCTAAACAACACTGCAAACCATATCGTCATATAACTCCACTTTTGGACTAGTGCGTGCTAAATTCATCACTCATTCATCAAATTTTAATGACATCACAGCTTTCTATATCAGCTTCAAATTCGGCGGCTGTCGACGTTTCCAACAACAGGTCATACAGTTCAAAGTCAATTTTGCTCAGACAGTCGAATTTTGACTATATTTCGAGGGAAACTTGTATAAAATCTTTGTCAGGATTTTCCGACTGCAACTCCACTTCTAGTTCGTTCGCGGTTCGTGTAAACGCACTCCGGCACGCGGTACGGCTTTTCTTTGTAACTTCAAGTCCCGTAGCCATGATAAACGTTTTGCAAACCCGATTCAAAATCCCTCAAAGTTTCGAGGTTAAAACGACAAAGTTCGGAACCCGGTAAAAGTTTGCAAAACTCAACTACGCTGGTACGGATTGTCCACACACTCTTCAAATGTACACAGGTGTTTACCTGCTTATGCACAGACCGAAAAGTTCCACTATTTTTTCCAGAAAATGTCCTGTCACGGTCGCCAAATGTTGTGTCGTGCACCAAATAAAACTACCGAAATGTCTGTACATTAAAACTTTAGTTATCTGACAATGTCAAAGTTTTACCGGTTTTTTTTTGTTATGTTGTATTCGATTCTCTCTTTTCTCTCTTCATTCATCCGTCTCATATGCTCGCATCTCTGACAGACGTCTCACATACTAGTTGTCTTCATCTATGCATACTAGCACGTAGGCATCAACAGCACGTGGCTGCGACTTTATAGACTTGGAGAGTATTGCTACTGGTTGCATTTTCTGGAAATTTTCATTTAATTAGATAATTAACGTAGAGTAGTAGGTTAGCAGACCGTTTAGTTTGTGGTCGTCAAACCACGTTTTATTGTTCGTTAATAAGCTCACCATTTTCCTTTTTTTATATCAGCATTCAAGTCAGTTTATGTACTATCACGGTAAAAGAATTGAGTAGTATTTCGGCAGCATTCCATCGCTGAGTGTTCTAACTTTGCTGCGAAAGCTAGTGGCGCTCAAACGAACTCACCCTTCGGGCTTTGCACACGACCGCCCGAAATTCCCGCTCAAGGGAAACCTTTTTTTCCTCTCTCTCTCTATTAAATTGTCGTTATAAATCATTGTTCATAAATCATTAGCGCCCCATATACGAGAGAAATATCTGTCATATCTGATACGTGGCGAGCCAAATTCGAACAGATATCGGTGCGTTAATAGTTAACCACGAGCCAGATACGACTCGATGCGAATTTCGTACAAAATAAATCTGCAGATCTGGACTTGCGGAATAAATTTCGCCGTTAGTGGGTACGGGCGAATACCAGTATAATCATATATCAATTATCACCATGAATGAGTGACATTTACTCATAGAGCCAGTTAAGACTAAAAGCCTTAACTGGCTAAGTCTAAAAAAAACGTTCAACACACCAGATCTTTTTCGATTTTTTTTGACATTTTGAAACTACACAAAAAGTTCAAGTCCAAAATCCTCGACCACACAAATTCCCTAATCCCAGAGACTTTGTCCCGAACAATCCCAAAACTCCACTTGAAATTTCGCAATAGTCTAATGGGACTATTGCGAAATTGGACCCCCTTGGGAACACCCACCTTAAGCAAATACCCGGCTTAATGAAAAACAAAATTTAAGCACATTAAAGATAAATAAGGCCAAACCACAGAACCAGTTTCTTCCAAACCACCCAAAATATATCTTTTCTTTTTCAGTGGATCTATTTTTTTCACTCATTAATCTCAGGCAAATAATAGCCTTCCTCACCCAGGCTTACTCATAGGTCAGCACTAAAGACTAAAAGCCTTAACTGGCTAAGTCTAAAAGAAACGTTCAACACACCAGATCTTTTAGTTCACTTAAAATACCACGCGCCAAATCAAGTCTGTCTGAAACGTAAGATTTCACTCGACTAACGGACGGATACTGATACCTCCAATCCCGCAGAAAGAATCTGCACTCGTACTTAGTGGTTAGGTATGTTAATTAGTGGACAAGAAAAGATTTAGTGCGTCTGATCTGGATCTGTCGAATCAAATCTCTACGTATCTGAACTGTACGGATAATCTGCCCGTGTACGGGGCGCTATTGTCATTTAAATTATTGCCTTAATTAAATAGTTTTCATTAAATGTTGATTTTTATTTTTTTGTTCTGTCCGAAATTTGTCGTGTTGCATACTTCAGCTATGTTTGATATAAACAAATATTGAAACATGTCCAGACTAGGTGAACAGTGCCTATACAAATTTAAATGTAGTTCGTCCACTACTCCACTGGGCAGATGCAACAAATACTATTTTATTTCAGACGCACTGCTATCGGTCGAAAAAGGTCAGGTCACTTTAAAGAAAATATCGGAGACGGCTGTTACTGCTGTTCCCGATATTTTCTGTTCATTGAATATTGCTATTTGCCGAATCATGGGTGTATGGATTCGAAAATCATCAGGTCCCACGTCCACTCCCATACATACAAAACCTTACCACTTCATGATAATAAAATATCTCCTTTCACTAAAACTCAGGCCAATTGAGAACGCCGTGGCGAATCAAAAGGCACAAAGGCAGGTATTTGCCTTTTTGCTTTGTTGAAATATCGAAATCCCAGATGTTGTACTGGTATTTTTTTTTGTTTGCCCGGCGGCTGGAGGATAAAAATCTTCGCGACGACACCCGGTATCCCGTAATACCGGGTAGTGTTGGATTTTTACCAACTAAAAAACCCCCATTTGCGCTGTAGTTTTCAGGAAATCCTTTAAAACATGCAGTCGTCTAAAGTTTGTGTCGGCTCTGGCACAAATGACATGCCGTTGCATCTCATTCTCTCCACATAGGATTCATGCCTGGTGTGGGCATCTTGCTAACTTAAATAAGCTGATTAAGCTAAACCACTTGATGGTTGTAGGCTACGGTTTGCACCGTTTGCCTGTTGCCCTGTTGGGTCAGCTGGTGCCTGGGCCTTTTTTTCCTAGGGCCCATATCCATTGGTTCATAACTTACCGCGTTGCGAAGATCTTCATTGCAGTGGTTTTCCGCTTTCTGGAAGTCAGCTCCTGCTTTTCGGGCTATAAAGTCGCGGAGTGGTTCCCATTTTAGATCTCTGTAAATCTGGCTGTTGCGTACGAACCAAAGCGCGTCAACTGCCATTCGCAGAATTTTGTTTTCCGTGGCTTGTAGTCTTTTTAAGTGGCATTCGCTCGCATAGCCCCACGACGTAGAGCCATACGCCAATGCGGGCCTGATAATTGTTTTGATCAGCAGGAGCTTGTTTTTAATGCTCATATGACTTTGGCGGTGGAGGAGTGGGTAGAGCTTGCTGGTTACAGCTTTGGCCTTATTGATAGATGTTTAAACCTGCTTCCTCCAGGTAAGCTGCTTATCCAAGATGATGCCTAGGTACTTCGCCTCTTGTTTCCACTCGACGTCCACCCCATCGATGTTGATATTTCCATCAACGCTGTCCCGCCTCCTACCAATGAGGAGGTCTTGACTTTTTCCTGGGTGAATTTTTACCTTCCACTTAGTAAACCACTCGTGTAGTTCATCAACTGCGATCTAAAGTC